TCGACGTGTTGTTTAAGCGTGTTTTAAATTCATTTAAATTAACATTTTAACACTTTACGCAGAGATTTTTAAAAGTTGTTTATGCACATTTTTTAATAAAAAAATTCCGTACTTAATCCTACGTAAAAAGCAAGATTAAAAGTTTCTAAATATAACTTGTTTGTCACAAGATTTTTTTATTTTACTTAATCTGTAGAGATTAACTATTTTACATAAAAACAGCATTTTTTTATATGAATTTATTTAAATTGTAATTTTAACACTTTACGCAGAGTTTTTTTTCTACACAGAGTTTTTTTAAAGTTGTTTACAACTTTTTTTAATAAAAAAATTCCCTACTTATTTCCTAAGTAAAAAGCAAAATTAAAAGTTTCTAAATATAACTTGTTTATCACAAAATTCTTTTATTTTACTTAATCTGTAGGGATTAATTGTTTGACATTAAAACAGCATTTTTTAAAATATGAATTCAAATGGCAATAACAAAACTTGTACGAAAAATGGCAGTTAAAGTAATTGAAACTATCGTTATAAACGATGAGCAAGAATTAGAGTTTCAAGAAATAGGTTTGACCGTCGAAGAATTTATGAAAAAACTTAATGAAAAAACACAAAAACCAACGTTACAGATAGAAAGAGCCAAAGAGCCAAAAGAATCAGTGCATTTTCAGGTGCATAAAAAAAAAGGTAAGAATTTCTATATATAAAAAATTATTTTTTTTAAACATTGAAAAAAAAATTTTTTTAATTTTTTTTAGAAAAAAAGCAAATATAAAATAAAAAGAAGTCGACAAAGAAAAACCAATTTTATTTTGCAAAAATTAAAAGACGATTTAACTTCTTTTAACGTATACAATAATTGTAAATAAAAAAATATAACATATTTAAATAAATTTATTTTGTGTTTATTTCTTTTTTCTTTTTTTTAAAGCTGCATTTCTTTCGTGTTTTTGATCAACGTAAGCTTCGTTTGATATTTTCCATCGTTTTTTTTTTTTACCAACGCGTCTTAATTTACTATTAGATTTGTTATCTTTATATATTTTTTCAGTTTTTCGTAAAAATATTAATATATTTTTGCAATTGCTTGGTAACCCTCTATTTTCTGTTTGCGTATGTTGTGAGTTTCTTGTAGTACGTACAAAATCTACAGTAGCTTTCGATCTAGGTGTATATCGTGTGCAAGGCATTTTTTTATTTTTTTAAAAGTAAATCATATTTATAAAAGAAAATTTTTTTTTTTTTACAGACTATATTATTTTTACAGACTTTATTTTTTTACAGATTATATTTTATAAATTAAAACCATGGAAAATGAAATAAGAAATATGTTAGCAAAGTGTCTTGAAGCTTTATTGGACGCAATTTGCTGTTTATTTAAACATGAATACATACGTCATTCAAGCTATTGATAATGACTACAATAAAAGTTATGATAAATAAACCGCGTATTAACTTTATATTTTCAAGTAAATCCCGAAGAAAAATACAATCCGCAACTTATATTACCAGCATTAGAAAGATGGTTGAACGACGAAAAACAAAAACACTTTTTATTAATTCAAATTTTGTAAACACTCTTACTGAATTAAATGTATTGATAAAAAACCGTGTGGAGGAACCCATGAAGATTAATAAATTTTTTTTATGAATATTGTTTTCACTTGTAATTTTTTTTTTAGATTTATTTAAAAAAATAATGGAAAAAATTATAAAAGATGTTAACGATGCCATCAACAAATATGGCAAACCATCTGAACAAATGTTAAATTTATCGTTTCATACGAAATCATGTTTTTTGATGGCAATTCCGTCTTTAATTTAAAAAACGTTGATATTACCGATGAAAAAGCTGAATATGAAGAGAATGAATATGAAATGGACGTTGATTATGAAACAACTGAAAAATATGATGACAATGATGACGATGACAATGAAGAATATGAAGATGATAATGATGATGATAACGATGATTATGATGATGATGACGATGATGATGATGTAGAAGACATGGAAATAGACAATATTGACTTTTTTTAATTCAAAACTTTATTTACATAATTTGTAAATTATATGTTTTTATTAATATTAAATGTGGTTTATTATATTAAATATGTATTAATACTCTTTTAGCAATTAATAAAAAAAAATGGCAGAAGCGAAAATATTGCTATTATTGCAAACTACCCATTAATATTGATGAATTTCTTGAACATCAACAAAAATGTTGTACGATGACTGTTTTGGATGCGGTAAAAAAATAAATATAGAAAACACCTGGGATCACGAATGCGAATTTCTTTTTGAGGTAGAACAAGTAAAACCAGAAGTAAACAAAACAAAGTTGTGTATGATTTGTCAAAAACTATTACCTGAAAAATTGTTTGATGAGCACGTTAATGAATGTTGGAATCGCTTTGAAGAAACAAAGAAAAATATCATAAACAAACAAAGAGAATGTTTAATGGACTAAAAAAAATGTTTACCTTTTTTAAACATGTCTACAAACGCCATTTTAACAGTTTGGAAAAGATTAATACTCAATTAAACAGTCTCATACAACGTATAGACAATATGGATGCGGAAAAGGAGAAATTTATGGTTAAAGTCAAAGTGGATAAAGAATTACAAGAAAAAGAAATTGAAAACATCATTCAAGAAAACATCAAAATGAAAAAAAGAAATTGAAGAAATTTTTAGCAATATAAATGACAAAATGTTTAAAAATCCTGCCATGCGCGATAAAATATTTTTAGAGTTGGATCAAATGGATTCAAGGTTATTATCTAACGAGTCCTTCTATACTCAACCTACTTATTCTGCTGAAGGTTATTTATATCGATTACAAATTTACGGTTACCACGATAAAGAAAATGCCATGGCTATTTATTTTTAATTGATGCAATCTTCAATGGATAACACATTAAAATGGCCGTTTACAAAAAATGTACTTTGTACAATTAGAAATAACGGTTTTTGTATGGAGAAAAACATAGCTTAGTATAGCGAACCGAACAAAAAATGCTTTGAAAAACCAACGCAATCGTTCAACATAGCTGTCGGAACAAGTCATTTTGCAACCCATCAAGAACTCAAAAATTGTATTATAAATAATAAACTTATTATACACGTTTCTTTACTTTAATTTTTTTTTTTTAGTTTTAACACTATTTCTACTTTGTATTTTTAAAAACATTTTTTAGATATAAATAACAAACAATGGACTTGAATAATCTTATTTTGAGAGAAATGGCTGATTATATTACCACACGTGACGTAAAAACATTGAAAATGATACGACAAATTCCACACGGTATCAGTGAAAAAATTAATGACGGTATAGATTTTATGGATTATATAAGACAAAAAAACTTTACTTACAATAATTTTGAATACGAAATACTGGAATCTAAAATAAATCTTTTATTGAATCTTTTTAACGAAATTGGAAGAAAAGACATTTACAAAAAGTTTAGTAAAAAAATTGCTAAACCTCCCTCGTATGAAGAAAGCATATCACCACCTCCTTACGAAAAAATCGTTGAAAACCAACCTTATTATCCGCCTGAAGTTATTGTTTACAAACAAAAAGAACTTTTAAATTTTTATAACAAACATTTGTAATTTCTTTTTAAAAATGTCAAATAAAAAAGCTTTATTAAAAATGTTTTTTTTATGTATTTTTTTTAAGTGTGTTTAAACCAAATAGAAATCCAAGACGAAAATAATATCACATTAACTTTATTATGTAAAAGTAAATTGGCATATATCAAACTTTAAAAGAAATTATACCAAATCTACAAAAAGAAACTTGTGATTTAATATATCTGTTTTTAAAGTCAAATAATTATTGGTTATCCCATTTTAAGTCAAAAGAAGACTGTTTTTTTAATGAAATTAATGACTGTGTTTTAAATTATACCAGTTATTTTGAATATAGAGATTATTATACCAAATGCTTTGAATATAAAGATTTAACACATAAAATTACTAAATATTGTTTTTAATACATATAATCTTTTTGATTCTCTTTATCATCTAGAAATGTTTATTTTACTGATTATTTGTTTAATTGATATAGAAATGTCATGTCTTGTTTTTTTAAAATTTATATAAATTTATTGAATTGGATTATTAAACAATGTGAATATGTTATAGATCCTTATTTTAAACCTACTTGTGATGATAAATATGAATTTATTTCACTTTTTTTTCAAAAACAAAATAATGAAACTAACAAATTTTGATAACGAAAGACTAGTATGTTTTAATCCAGGCGAATATGCAATATTTTTAAAGTTAGCCGAAGATTGGCACGGTGAAAATTATTGTAACGTACTATAGGATTTCACAGATTGGGACGTATTAAAATTTTGTTAAAAGTATAAAATAAAAAAAAGTTTTACATTAATAAATTTTTTCGTTCGATATATTGTCTTTTTCATTCAATATATTGTCTTTTTCATTTTTTATAATATGATAACATCCCAACAAATCTTTTTGTAAATATAAAATTCCAACACAGCAATAACAATAATAAGACAAATGTTGCACTAGTAAAACTGTTTATGTATTTGATTTTTGTAAATAGTTTATCCACACATGTAAAATAATAATACATGGTTTGTAAAACATCAAGACAATGTTCAATAATATCCTTATAATTATGATAATTCGTGTCGGTAAAAAATACGCGTTTCGGTAGACATTTAAATAACAGTAAAAATTTTTGCAATTCTATTTGATATTTCTCAATTATTTTCATATCTTTAATATGTATATTATAAATTCTTTTCCATTGATCTAACTCACTTTCTTCAACTAAAATTTTTTTATCCATTTCTATAGCGCGATTTATATTAGATTCTTGCATATGTTTTATATTAGATTCTTGCAAATGTTTTAAATCCAAATGCGTTCGATACAAGTATAACAAATCAGCGTCCGACTTGTCAAAAGACATTTTTATAAATGAAAAAATTTATTTGATAAAATTTTATGTACAAATTTTTTTTAATAAAAGGAAACTAAAACAAACAGCCACAACATCCTTCACATTCATTGCTATCGATACATGAGCAACATCCACGACAAACGCTATCGCTATTGACACATGAGCAACATTCGCGACAAAAGTAACGATTTCTTCTTTGCGGTGTTCCAAATTCATACTCATGCATTAAGCGTATTTGTTCTTTAAAAAAAATTATTTTCATTAAACAAAATTATTTTACATTTTTAAAAATTTAAAAAAAAAACAATAACATAAATAATTACCATCATCTATATCAGGCAAATCATCATAATAATCAAGTTTGCCTGCATACATATTTTCATCTTCTTCTTCTAGAGGTCTGTTCTCTACCACTCTAGGTACATAAAATTGCGGCAATTTATATTCCTTTTCAGGAATATAAGGTTTAACTATCTATAAAAAAAGTTACTTTTTTTAAAAAAAAGTTTATTTTTTATTTAAAAAAAACTTACTAAAAAAAATAAACTTACAGCAACTGGTTTTTTAAACAAAATTTTTTTGACTTTGTTTAATTTACTTGAAAAAATTTTTATTGTAGATTTTACCATTTTTTTAAATACTAAAACTGCTACACATGGAATAAAAAAAAACTTTATATACTCGTTGTTGTGGAATAAAAAAACTTTATATACTCGTTGTCGCGCTTGATTAAACAGATTAACATTTTTTTTAAAGATTAACATTTTTTTAAGGGATTAACTTGCTGGTTGGTTGAATGATTGAAAACTTTGAAAATACTAGAAGGTGTGATCATCACATATTGCAATTGTGCATTCACGAACGAATCAGGCTAACAATTGCATCAAATTAAAAAAAAAAAAACACCTTCAAACAATTTTGGTAGATCGATAGTTGTTAAAGCTAATATAAAAACTAGAAATGAAAATATAATTGAAAGCCATCAAAAATATTAGTTAAAAAACTTTTATTTCTGTTTTCGTCTCATTTTTTAATCGTTAACTCTTCATTTCATTTAGAATCAAATATAATACAAACTCAATTTACTTGGCATAAATAATCTACTTTTGCATATATCTACTTTACTAAATAACAGTTAAAGCGGAAAAACAAAAGATTTTTCTCTGTTGCTGACGCCATTTACCAATAAATACTTTTTAAACACAACTTTAGTACATAATTTTTAAGAGCGACTTTCCGTATAAATCAGACAGAGTTCAGTAGTGACCCTCTTTAAAATTGCTAATTTTTAATATGTTGCTATTCATACTAGAAGCATAATTCAAAAACTTTTTAAAACAAATAATAATTGGTTTTCTAGATATTATACGTCAAAGTTTGACAATATCTTTATAAATATTGACCAAATGATGTCTTAGGGATTTTTGATGTAAAAAAAAAAGTAAATACTTTACAACCACTTAATTATTGTTCATTGGCTAGTTCAGACCAAAAATAAATAAAGTTGGTCAGGGAAATTCTTTTCTTTGTCTAAACATCATGCTTTAAAATATGTGAAAAAAGATTTTTTTGCCATTTTTGATATCTTTTTACATTTATCTAGTTAAGTACCTAAAATTATAAAAACACCGATGAGTAAGCAAAAACTTAGCCGCAAGAACTCAAAAACAATTTTCTAATCTTTTTACGCATTTATTGTGACATGATAATGGTTAATACCCGTTAATCTACCTTATTTATAAAATATACTTATGGGGTATTGCAATAGTTTAGAAAAAATAACATATAAATAGTATAGTTATTTTCTTTGTGCTTCTATATTTATTTAGAAGCGGATATAATTCAATATGTTTCCTTGTTACTCTATCATATTTTTAGAGTATAATTTTTACTCCGATATGAGTATAATCCATACTCCCGAGTATGCTTTGAGTATGATTATTTTATTCAATAATAAATCTCTTTTGCTCATTTATAGTTAGTTATGATTTTTTTACATTTTGATTTAACGTCGTCAAAAAATATTTGTTGCAACACGAGTTGTTGCTTCGATCAGAATAATTGTGAACCTTACATGCGACCTATTTCAGATGTAGATGAAATGTTTAAAACAAGACAACTCCCTAAAAACATACAACCACATTTATATATAGATTTGTTACTTGTAAATCATAATAATTAGTTTTTTATTAATTAGTTTTAGAATCAAAATAACAAAGGCTGTAAAATAACAAATTTTTTTAAGGTATCAAAGAAGAGCTTTGAGCTTCAAGGTGATTAGAACGAAAAATCTCTAATTGTAAATCGCATGAACAGAAATTTTAACAATACAGAAAAATTATGTGCATGTCATTGCAACACATTAGCGATAGGATGGAAACAAAGAAAAAACTGAATGCACCCTAATCACAAAGTAAAAACAGGGAAGAAAGCATTATTAGGGCAACCTGCACCATCATCTATGACACTTCAAATATCTTTAATATAGTTCATACATTCCAATTGATTCAATTATATGCAATTTTCATCAAAAAGAATACTATTCCGAAACAAGGATTAAAGAAACAGAAATAATATCTAAACAAGAATCTACATCAACAGCTACTGATATTGATTATATACCAAATAAATTTTTGCAAAATCAAGAAGAACCTAATACTTCAAATGCAATCAGAGAAAATACCACAGCTTGTCTTAAGACCAGTCCAATTAAATTCCAGTTTAAAAAAAAACTTGAGCATATTAATTAATCTACAAAGCAACAAATGCGAAAGAAATATAAGCGTATGGAAAACCTTCAGAGAAGATTTTGCAGAATCTATTGCGTCTGTTCCATCGGAAGAGTTCTTAAAAGTGCTTGAAGGTGATGAAAATGCCGAAACAGATATTCCAGATGAAATTGAAAAACTTGAAGAAATGTATAAAAACAGTGGTGCAACAAGTCAACTTATTTGCATTTATTGACCATAATAAATACACAAAGCAACTTTTATGCAACACATTTAAGCGTACAAAATATTAAATATAATTTTCCAGAAAATGGAAAGCCTCACTAAAAGGTTTTGTACGGTTAAGGATTTTTAATGACATTCAAAATAAGGTTGCTGATTTTCATAAAAATCCAGACCGAAAAAAAACTAGCGCATGCGTTTTTATCGCCTAATATTGGATGGTATTAAATATCGCGTAGGATCACGAGGTGTTTTGAATTTTTATTGGAATTTACTCTCTTTTTGGCTGTGTTGTCTATATACTTGTCTATATACTTGAATTTTACATTGTGCTCGAGTTTGTACTTGAATTTTACATTGTGCTTTATGTCTATATACTTGAGTTTTACATTGTGCTCGAGACTAAGCTAAATGTTTATAGTTTTTACTATGTGCATAAAAGAAAAAGATTTTAGATTGGTATTTTTTTAATTAGGTTAAAAGTGTTTAAATGTAACACAAACTTTTGCGAACACTCGTCATAAATATATTTTCTGCAATACCTTTTATGACATAAAGCTATAAATTACTGAAAATTTAATACGATCTACATAAGGTAAAAATATATTTTCTGATTTGTATTTTGTTGTTCTTTTATTAAGTTAGTTTTTAATTTAAAGTAGTATTTGAACTTTTTCTTTAAACATTTGCTAATGTGAGTATTTTAAAGTTGTGTATATACAAATATATAATGGTATAGTATATATATTTTTTTGCAAATAATTTCAATAAAATAAAAAGATTTGGTTGCATATATGTGCAGTACAGTCAGTCACAGCCACTCTTGTCAGGTTAAAAACTTTTTTTAAAAATTGGATGGCTACAAATTTGTCAATATTTTCATTACATGAACAATTTTATAAAGCTAACAAATAATCTTCCCCATTATGTTAAAGATGCAGTGTTGCATTTTTTAAGACAAATATTGGATCATACATAATAACCACAATTTAATTGCAGTACAGTTAAGTACATGGACTAATCTTTTTAAATGGACCAAATACTTGAATGTTATATATCATTAGAAAGCCCCTAAATATAGTATTTTAAAGGTATTGAAATGGTTAGATAGAGTTTTTAGTCAATGTGTTTTTATTGCGGTTCTTCAATTTAAGACTAATACTAAGTTTAATTTATCCGATTATTAGTAAAATATTTGTTTTAAATTTAGTTTCTACTTAGTTCAATTTATATGGTCTATTTAAGCTACTACTTTTATATTCAGATTATATGCAAATTAATATATACGTTTAATTATAGTTATTTTTTTATCGTTTAGTTTAAATTAATACAGTATACTATAAAAATGTGTTTTTTATTAAATTTATTTTATTCTAAAATTGTGTAGTGATGGTACTCGTTTTGTTTTTAGTCTATATTTATTTTAATTTGGTATGATATATTGAAATTATTCATTTAGTAATTAATTTGATACATGAAAGAGTAGGTATAGCACCATTAATTCAAAACTTCTCATTTACAAAAATAAAACCACAGAACTTTTTCTTGTGTTTAGGTAATAAATACCATAAATTAATGGATAAATAAGGTTGAGAAAAAAATGAAAAAAAAAAAAAAATTAATTAGAAATCTGGTAATGGCAGGAAAAAATTATGATTAGGTTAAGTGTTAAAACCCAAACAATTACGATTGTCACTATTGTAATGAGGATAATGTGATAAACAAATAACATAATATTAGAAAATTACTAATTTTATTATACATAAGGCACAACAACAGCAGTATTATAACAATAAACACATAATGTAACAAGGAAAGTATGCGCAGAATTACTTACAGAAAGAGTATAAGTTTAGATTCAGAAAGGCAGTATGTAAGTTCACATTCAGAAAGGCATGTCAAGTTATTCTCATTTAAGACATTAACCTTTAGACTACCAGCGCACAGTGGAGCAGTAGGTGAACAAAATGGGAAAAATTTTAGTTTTCCAATCTTATTTTATTAATTTTTGGTATCTATATATTTTAAGAGAAATTTATTGATAATCTGTTTATATTAAATCCCTTAGTTAACAGGACTCTGACCATTTGAATATTGAAATTAAAAAAAAAAAAAAATTTTAAACAAGTAATTTTAGTGACATCAACGTTGTGTGGTATTTAAATTATATCTTTATTTTTAAAACACAAAACTAGTACATATTATTTAAGAGTATTTAGAGATAAGAAAAACCATTGTGTTAAATAAATTTGTCATAGCATGTTATCTCAGTTATATTTTGAAAATCGCAGATTAAAAAAAATCTTATAGAAATCTTTTTTTGGCACACCAAAACTAATAATTGCCACAATTTGCCATGTGCTGTGTTATATTTATTTGAGATATATGATGCTTCAATCAAGTTTCCATTTATTACTTGTCCCCTTTCAGATTTTATTTATGTTTTAACTTGGTTGCTATGGTACTTAATTTTGCATATCAAGAACCTATTTTTACATCAACGTTGTTTTAACAGTATTTTATTTACAATAAGTACACAATATTGGGCGTTTGTATAAAAATGAGATTCGCAATTCTTATAAGATTAATTTTTTTGGTTGCTGGGATACCTTACTTTGCATAGCATAGCAATAACATATTTACAGTGGTTGTTAGTAATTTAATTACTTGCACTAATAGTACTTTAATTACTTTTAATTTTAACTACAACATTTGTAGTAACTTTATTACTAACAAAATTAGTAGTCTACGCAGCATATGTATTATAATATTAAGCATATGTATTATAATATTAAATACAAATAATTAGTTATAAGAATTATTTAAATATGCTTTTATTAATTTTTGACATTCATAATTTACTCTAAAAGAACAATCTTAGTATTTTAAAATAAAATATTACTGAAGATATATTAAAATTTATTTATATATAGTTTAGATGGTGCTACTGGCAAAACATTTATAAACAAGTTTTAGACTTCAAATCAAGTTCATATTATATATAGCACGTCATATCATTTAGAATACATGATATCATAATAATTTTAGAGCATATTTTAAAAGATTGTTTAACTCAGTATCTATGTGCAAATAATTTTTTATCTCAATCAGCAAAGATTTGTTTCAAATAAATTATGCATTACCAATTTATTGGAAACTCGATCAAATGTCACACTCAATAGCAAAAGACTATAGTGCAGATGCTTTGTATATAGATCACTTACTGCTTATAAAAGCCTAACCCTAAATAGCTCAACACCTAATGCTTAAAACATGTCCTGAATAGTAATATAATAGTGTTAACATAAATTTTTGTAGAATTTCACATTTTCTATATATATATATATATATATATATATATATATATATATATATATATATATATATATATATATATATATATATATATATATATATATATATATATATATATATATATATATATATAAATATATATAAATATAAGTGTATATAAAAGTTGAAGTAGTTTTATCTAAAACGTTTTAAAAAAAGTGCATATAAATTTATTTGTCATAGATGTTTACATATTATTAGATAGATATATTGTTTATTAGATAGATGAGCAGTGATATTGTTTATTAGATAGATTAGCAGTGATGTTGATGTCAGGTAAAACATATATATATCGAGGAATCTTTTGTATTACTTATGGCATATTTCACTTTATGCATTTGAAACATTCAAACCAATCAATCTTTCATTTGTTTTTAGAAGATAAATGCCAATCAAGACAAGAGTCGACCAGGAAAATGTCTAGTATCACATTTACATATGGATGCTTTTCTTTTTATTTCAATATGTTTGTAACTGATGTTTGAAGTATATTAGTGTAACTTTTATTTAAAATCCTACAAACAAACAGATGGTTCATCATCAGGTAAACAATAACAAATATTTACTAATCTTTTACTTTATGCATTCGAAACATTCAAACCAATCGATCTTTGATTCGTTTTTAGAAGATGAGCACCAACCAAGACCAAGACAAGAGTCGACCAGGAAATTGTCATGTATTAAATTTATATTTGGTTGCTTTTTTTATTACTTCAATGTGTTTATAACCGTTGTTTGAAATATATTAGTGTAACTTTTATTTAGAATCATACAAACAAACAGATGCTTCATCATCAGGTAAACAATAACAAATATTTACTAATCTTTTACTTTATGCATTCGAAACATTCAAACCAATCGATCTTTGATTCGTTTTTAGATGAGCGCCAATCAAGACCAAGACAAGAGTCGACCAGGAAATTGTCAAGTATTAAATTTATATTTGGTTGCTTTTCTTATTACTTCAATGTGTTTATAACCGTTGTTTGAAATATATTAGTGTAACTTTTATTTAGAATCATACAAACAAACAGATGCTTCGTCATCAGGTAAACAATAACAAATATTTACTAATCTTTTACCCTATGCATTCGAAACATTCAAACCAATCGATCTTTGATTCGTTTTTAGAAGATGAGTGCCAACCAAGACAAGACTCGACCAGGAAACTGTCTAGTACTAAATTTATATTTGGCTGCTTTTCTTATTACTTCAATGTGTTTATAACCGATGTTTGAAATATATTGTTTTATTTAGAATCATACAAACGAACAAATGATTCATCATTAGGTAATATAAAATATTTGGTTACAAATCTTTTGTATGACTTACAATTTATGAAATAAATGTTACTTATGTTTAGGTGTAGAAAATATGTTGCAACATTTGCGTAAGTTTAATATATTGATTTTACTTTTTTCTTTTTCTTTTTTCCCTACAATTTTATGTGCACAGTATTTTTTTTATATATTTTTAAATTTTAATGTTTAGTACAACGTGTGAAGCAACTTGAAAACAAAAAAAGTTATACAAATTCTTTTTAATTTTGTTATATATTTAACCCTATATTAAACGTATTGTGTATTAATTGAACATTTATTTAAGATGGATTCCTCAATGAATTGATCTTATTATTAGTGATTAAATAAATGATTTTATTAATAATTGAAACCGATATTTTTATTACCTTATAGTACGTTACTTTTTTTATAACAGTTACTTTTTTGTATAATCTAAATTAAAAAAAATTTTTTTTTTAATAGCCACAACTACTGTTTCGGATTCAACGAATGGTATTAATGTAATTATTTTGAATTTCATAATTATTTATAATTTTTTACATGTTTTATTATTACTTTTTTTGAATGTTAGATATGTCGTTCGCATCATACAAACGTTTTAGGAGGCGCCATCATGGACCTACTTCCTTTAATTCGTATATGAAGTGGGTTGCCAATGGTGGCGTTGATGATATCAATTTCAATTGGAGGGGTAGCAACAGGGTTAGTAGAGGAAGAGGTAGGGGGGGGGGGTCATAAAAATTTCAATTTTATATGCAAATAGAAATAAATGTTCTCGTTACCACAATTTCTACTGAAAAGTCTTCAGTTTCTTATAAGTCTAAATGTAAATAAAATTACTACAAATTATTCATTAATTAGATCAATCATTACCAGAAATTTTATATAAATTATTATATATAAAATATAGGTAGATGGTAAGTTACATAAGCAATGCTTAATAAAATTAGTAAAAAAAACTTGTAAGTGGTAATAAAACGATAATAAATAAAATTGCTATTTGCTTTGATTTTGGAACTTTTTTTTGTAAACTTTTGTATTTTTTATTTGTACTTTTGTTATTATTTGTTTTACTTTTGTTACTAATTTGTTATTTCACTCATCCTAATTTGCCTTTAAAATATGCTGAAAACTGAAAAAAGAACTGGAAAGCGCTGCTTTTAATATCGATTTTGCATATATAAAATTTTGTTCGTTTTTGTTTATTTTTATTGCTTTTTGTAAATTAGATTCTCTTTATTGGAAATAAAAATTTTAGTCATAAAAATTACTACGTATGTTTTACTTTGCGTTTTTTGAAAATGCGATGCTGCACTGTTTAAAAAGATCAATTTAAAAATTCCACGCCGCCAATTCCAAAGTTTTTTTATTTACACAAATCACAAATCTTTATTTACAAGGACGTAAAAAGGGCGTAAAATAAGAATAAAATAATCTCAATTAAGGCGTAATTTAGAATTTGCGTAAAATAATCTTATTTTACGTGCTTGATTAAAGTAAATAGGCATGGGTCTATTTATAATAAAGAACTTTGCGGTGTCATTCAATAGACCAATACATTCTTTTAAGTGGCAAATAATATTTAAATTAGTTAACAAGGAAACAACTAAAGTTAATTGCGTAAACATATAATAGCGTAAAGACCTAATTGCCTCGGTTTTTATCATGTAAAACAATACCACTTGGTACTAATTTTTTCCGATCTGTGCATCATACATATGGCACAAAATAACCATTTACCTGCAATTTAAGACAATTATTTCTCTGGAAACCTAAGCCTTTTTAATACTTTCAGTTAAGTCTAAAATCAAGATAAAATTATAATGTAGTATTTTTCTTAAACAAACTCTTTCAGAATACGAGTTTTTTGTCGTACCGCAAGATGCCGGACATTGGCTTGACTTTTTAAGGTGGTACATCCCCATTAATTTCGAAATTTTTTAGAAAATATCAATTTTTCTGAAAATTGGTTTTTTAAATTCAAAATTTTTCATAGAATAATATTATTAATTATTTTTTTAACAAATAACTAAGGAAGTGTGTACAATTTTGTGTTTTGTGGCCATAGTAGATTGAAAAGTCCGTAGCAACGCCATAGCAACGCATTTTAAAACAAAAAAATTTAAACTTGCTCAAGCTTATTAACATCAAAAACTCTTATCTACTGCAGCTTCTTCTTTGTTTTTTGCTTCATATTTATTTTAAAAGCTATAACTTGAACGAGTAATGCGAACATGTATCAAAATATTGTGCTTGCATGCTGTTTTAGTTTGCTAATGTTCTTATAGATAAATAGCTAAATAATATATGGGACGTTCTATTGCTCGAACTAAAAAAAGAAAAAGTTTTCTTGTAATCAACACCTAAAATCTTCAGCTTGATTCATTAATTTCTGATCCAAGTTTATCAGCAAGCTCTAGAAAACTAGTAAACACTGAAATATGTGGAAGTCAAAAAAATTACAATATCATTATTAACTTTAATATTTTAAAACTAATGGTTAGTGAGTTTAAATGCCCTAAATGTGGAAATGAAGTTTGTTTGGAAAATGACTTAAAAAGCAAGAAAGGTTTTTGTTTTTACTTAACTTTACAGTGCCTTTGTTGCCCATTTAGCAAAGGATGGCACACGTCTCAGTTTTCAACTAAAAAATCTAAAAGTACTCCAGGTGTTCCTACTGCATTAGTTAATTTTCAAGTTGTTACTGCTTTTCGTGAAATTGGTAAAGGTTATCAATCTATATGCAAATTTGCTGCAGTAATAAACATGCCATCTCCAATGAATTTTAAAAATTATAGTGCAATTAATAACAACTTGTTAAATATTTATAATGAAGTTGCTTCTGCAAGTATGTCAAGTGCTGCCAATGAAACCAAAGATATTATTTATAATTCAAGCAATGTTAATGATGTTTCTGCTTGCCAAGTTTCTGTTGATGGTACCTGGCAAAAGAGAGGTCATCAATCTTTAAATGGTATTGTCACTACAGTATCAAGAGAGAATGGAAAATGTATTGATTCAATTTCTTTAACTAAGTTCTGCAAAGCTTGTAGTTATTGGAACAAAAAAAAGTCAACACCAGGTTATCAAAACTGGAAAATAAATCATGTTTGTGAAGCCACAATAAATAACCACAATAAATCATCAGGATTCATGGAAGCTTCTGGTGCTGTTTCAATTTTTCAACGGTCAATTGAAAAGCATAGTTTGAGGTATGAAGGATATATTGGAGACGGTGACAGCTCAGCATATAATGATGTTGTTGCAAGTAATTCATACCCAGGTTTTGAAATAAACAGACTTTATTGTGTTGGACATTACCAAAAGAGACTTGGAAATCGTGCGTGTAACCATAGAGTTACACTTAAAGGTCAGTTTCTTTCAGACGGAAAAAGAATAAATGGAAAAGGTCGTCTGACAGATAAATACGCTTCAAAATTATTTTGTATGGCTATCCGTCAAAATGTGAATAACCTTTATTCAATGAAAAAAGCTGCTTGGGCTGTTTTATTTCACAACAGTGACATAAGTGAAGAGTCAGAGAGACACAAATTTTGCCCACGAACTAGAACTAGTTGGTGTTTGTGGCAGAGTAATAAAGTAACTGGTGAAACAACATACAAAACCAAATTAAGCTTACCATTAGCAATTAAAGCAGTACTTATGCCTATATTTACAGATTGGACAAATGAAACATTTTTATCAAAATGTTTGCACGGACAAACTCAACAATAACAATGAAAGTCTGAATGCCTTAAAATGGAAAAGATGTCCTAAAGATTTTTTTGTTGGGAAAAAAGTTCTTGAAATAAGTATGAACTCAGCTATTATAGCATTTAATGATGGAAGCACAGCAGTTGAAAAAGTAATTAGTGCTGGAGGTATTGAATCAAGTATGTTTATGCAAGAAGGACTTCATAAATTGGACCTCATCCGAATTAAAAAAATGAATCACAAATCAAGTGCTAAAGGTAAAATAAGGAAAAAACAGCTTACAGCCATCAAAAAAGGTTACATAGATATTGAAAAAGAACTGGGAAAGGACCCACAATATAATAATGGAGGTTTTTAATTGAGCTTGTACTTCTTTTCCTAATATAACGAACTTTTATTTTGTTTTTTGTGTTTTTCTCAAAATGTCATTTTTACCAAATATCTAAATTTTAAAACGCAATATTTTCAGTTTGGGACCATATGCTGACTTGAAATTTTCAGGGTGCTTTTGTTATAAATTTACTTAGGTAATGAACCAAAATTACAAATAAATATCATGTATAAGTATGTTTAAAATCTTTTTTTCTTTTTTTTTTTTGTTAAAAATTTTCTTAAACTTATAGAAAATTACTTTTAAAATGTTCTATGCATCAATAATGCATGATTTTGTTTCATAACCTCTTTGTACCTTTTAGGAACATAATGTGAAAATTTCAGAGTGAAAGGATATATAGAACTGGAGATATCTTGTTTTAAATAACACCCATGTTTTGGCAATTCTTATGAAATAAGTAAGGCAAAAGTTGGGCAATCGATATTTCATTTTAAAAAAAATAATCAGCATACTTTTTTAAACTTGTGTAATGTAGTTTTAATTTTGTATAGATTATTTTAAAGAAATTTTTTAGAATGGGGGTGAACCACCTTAACGAGAGCCATGGATCTATTTTTATTTATATATCATTGGCTAAAACTATGGACTTATATATATTGTCACTCGTATATTTGTACATATTACCATTAAGGGTTAAAATAAAGTAAATTTTAAAAAATAAACAAGATTACAGAAACTTCTAAATCTTTATCAAATAGTTATAAATACCAATGTTAAAAATCAAAATTGGTTTAAACATATAAATACAATTATGTTTTTATTTATAGTTAGTGTTTATAATTCATATTAAAAATTATTCGATTTCTTAACAATGTAGTAAATAATTTGTTGCAATTAACTAAACATAAATATATACTAAATTGATATAGTTTATACACACTTGAATTCATTTGTCACCTTGTAAAACATGCCTGAAGGTGGAAATATAGGACAGCTTTAAGATATCTAAACGTAAAAAGGGCGATTTATTGTGTAAATAATATTAGCTGAAAATAGAAATGATTCGTTTAATCAACATATATAATAGACATTAAAAAGTTTAAAAATTAAAATCAAAATCGATGCCGATTGTGTTCTTAATACAATGTGGGTGAAGGTGGGGTGGGGGGTGGGGTGGGGGGCGTTTATTAATTTTTGGAAAGTTTGCCCACCCAACCTAAGCTTATTAAGACCGCCCTCATTTTTAGTTGTTATCAACAAAAAAAGTGAACTAAAAATGAAAAAACAGTTACAATTGTCCTTTAAAATTAGAAAATATATACAAGTTATTCATAAAAATAAAAACTGTTAGTGTAAACAGGCTATAAAAATGGGAGACCAATAAAAAATATCTACTTGTCAAGAGAATATTTTTGGTTCATTCCCACCGCTCTTTTTTTTAAACCCCAAACTTGTTTATTAAATCTGTGCTATATTTTTTTTTAATTGCTTTATTTAATTACAAATTACTAGGAATTTGTACTTTCAACGCCTCACAAATTGTTAGGCGAAGCAGGGAATCGTATTATGAGACCTTGTACTAGGAACGCGAGAGTACCACTTCCATTATAAAAACTATTTTATGAAAAGGGCTTACTTTTTAATAGTATCAACAACTGGATTACCATTGCCATTTACCAACTAAATTATTTATAATGAAGCCAACTGAATATCTTATATCATTGCTGAGCTATATGAATTTCCAGTAATAACAGTAATAACTAGACTGCCAGTATCATTACCAAGCTTTATGCACTTCCAATAACAACAACTGGATTGCTGGTATCATTACCAAGCTATATGCATTTCCAATTACAACAATTAGGTTGCTGGTATCATTACCAAGCTATATGCATTTCCAGTAACATTGGATTGCTGGATCATTACCGAGCTATATGCACTTCCAATAACAACAACTGGATTGCTGGTATCATTACGAAGCTATATGCATTTCCCATAAAATTGGATTGCTGGTATCATTACCAAGCTATATGCATTTCCAGTAACATTGGATTGCTGGTATCATTAGCGAGCTATATGCACTTCCAATAACAACAACTGGATTTCCAGTAACATTGGATTGCTGGTATCATTACCGAGCTATATGCACTTCCAATAACAGCAACTGGATTGCTGGTATCATTACCGAGCTATATGCACTTCCAATAACAACAACTGCATTGCTGGTATCATTACCGAGCTATATGCATTTCCAATTACAACAATTAGGTTGCTGGTATCATTACCAAGCTATATGCATTTCCAGTAACATTGGATTGCTGGTATCATTACCGAGCTATATGCACTTCCAATAACATTAACTGGATTGCTGGTATCATTACCAAGCTATATGCATTTCCAATTACATTAATTAGGTTGCTGGTATCATTACCAAGCTATATGCATTTCCAGTAACATTGGATTGCTGGTAACATTACCGAGCTATATGCACTTCCAATAACATTGCTTTTAGTTAAACAACAGCAAGAGTATCACAATCTTCCTTTACATAATGTTATCTATAAAAAAAAAACAATAAAATCAAAACAAATTCATAAAGATTATTACATTAAAACAGATTCATAGATATTAACATTTAAACAGATTCATATAGATTAATAACAATTAAGAAACTTTTATTAAATTACAATATTACTTGGTGACCATATCACCAACAACAAGTGTAGAGGCCGAGGGAGCTTTTTCAGCTGCTGGCTATATATGCAACCCTTAGTGGAGTAAATTATGCGATAATCCTTTAAGTAGGGTTTGTTTCTTAAGAGCACATTTCTTACAATGATTTTCTCATATTTGATATTTTTAAAAATAAGTAAAGCTTAAAGATGCTCTACGTAAAGCTAAAAGACTTTTTACGTATTTTTATCTTATCTTTTTGTTCATTAATTGTTAAAAATTATATTGATTTACAAATGAATTGTGTTTTTGGCTTCATTTACCTTATCTTATTAATTTAATAAGTTGAGTATATTTTTGCTGAAATACTTGAAAAAAAAATGCCATTGTCATTTTGTCTTTTATAACATGCATAAGAAATCTAACAATCCTGCGCGGGATCTGCATATAAATTTAAAAATCAGTGCTGATCCTGCGGGATTGAAAAAAGTATGGGATTGCAATCTTTAGCTATATTACTATATTACAGTGAAAAAGAAATATATATTCAAAAGAATACTCTTGAAATAAAAGTGGCAACGATATATTAAGATTAAAAATGAATCAATTATATTATTCTTAATAATAATTAATTAATTAATATACACTGATTGTTTTACATATATAATATAATAGAAAAATATATAATTCCTAATATATGTTTTCGAAATCAGAGCTTAATTTGCTATGTTGTTATGAAACCACATTTCATTTTCATCTTCAGTGTTACAGATAGTATTTTATTTTAATTTTGGAATAAGTTGTCCAATCAATATTTGCAGCGCTAAAGTGGTCGGAAAAGATTATATAAGAATTTAAGAAAAGGACCCTACGCATCCGCCCTTCCCCTTCTCCAACGAAGGGGGAGGGGGGATGATTAAGAATTATTTTAACAAATTTCTAATTTCGTTAAAACGCTATATCAAATTTATTTCTGGTTAACACCCTGAGGTTAACAGAAAGATCTGCTACCTAATAATTCAAACACATTTTAAATATAAAGTTCAAGAAATAAAAACCTAATTTTGTTGATGTTTGCAATTGGCAATTATCACAGGTCCAGATCGCATCTTCATTTTCGTAAGCGCTTTGTGGAATTTTTTCACATCCACGATGAAACCAATTTCTACAAGTACTACATTCTGCCATTTGCCTAAAAAATTAATTAAATGTTAAGTACATAACTATTTATATATGTTATATAACTAGTTATGGTCATAAGTTACAGTCCATAACTTGTTATTCACAACCCAATAATAATACAAATAATTACAATTTATAATTATCTATTGAAAGTAACCAATATATATATATTATAAAAGCAAAAAAAAAAGAATAATTATTTTAAAGTTTTAATAATTTTGTTTGCATTTTTTATATTGTCGTCATTTTTGTGCAGTCTTAACCATCTCCTGGATATTTATACGTTGTTTGTATTTTCTGAGCAAAACCAAAGTATTTGATTTTTAATAAAAAAATTTTTTTTTTGTCGGTTCAGTTTGATGTTTTATTTGTATAATGTTCGTGTATATTTGCGTTATTGTTGTTATTATATTTTTTGTTGTTTGCTGTAAATGCAGTTTTTCTGTTTCTGTGTTTCCATAATTAATTGTAATTTTATGGTTAAATAAATGGATAAAATATTTATATCTATATATATATATATATATATATATATATATATATATATATATATATATATATATATATATATATATATATATATATATATATTACACCTGTTATAAATGTGTTCATCTTGCAGGGCCCAAAACATGCGACATGAACAATGTAAAGTAAGATGTCTAATTTGTTGTTTAGCAAAGACTTAAGTAAATGAAGCCTTATTGCACTTTGCTCAAACTTCAGTCTAACTGGTGGTACACACTTTCTTTCTAGTATCTAGCGTGCCCAAGCAATAGAATACAAACCACAATCTACACTATTGGTTTGCTGCTGAATTGGTAAAACTTTTATAATGAGGTTTTTTTTTAGACATTGTAAAATCGAGCATATTTGCCTCTTTGTCTCAATACTTAATGATCCATGGAAAAGGCTGTCAAAAATGTAAATTTCCCCTGGCTTGCAATCGTATGTGGTAACACAAAGCCAGTGTAGATTGCCATCATGGAGAATTTGTACAAATGGAACATTTTGATGGACATTGAACGATAGAACTTTTCCTTTAATGGGATCTTGCAAACCAACATCAATATTTAACTGAACTGACATCATCTGTTGGAAATAATTAATGATATTGTCATTCAGCATTAGACCATTTTCTATCTCATTCCTTTCAGAATATCCGATAAGAGAGGATTTAAATTCTTTAATAGAATGAACAGTGGTTTGCAGTTGCACACAATCATTATCAGTGGGAACTTCATGCAGCTCGTGACAATCAGTATATGTTACTTGTTGAATTTTTAATGACTCAGCGGGAACTACAAACATTTCACAACTATCGTCTATCACTTGATTTGAAACAATCTCTGATTCGCAAAAGTTATTTTTAACTTCTGATTTAACACTTATATTTGAAGCAGCTTTCATAGTATCATATTTTACACCTACTCTTTTAGTCATTTTCCTCTTGCGTCGAACTGGAATAGTGACAAGATTAGGAAATTTTAAAGCAGACTTTTCCAAGTATTTGGTTTAGGGTCAGGACGCAGGATAATGCCTTGTTCTTTTGTAATAGATTCAGCATATGCAATCTTAAGCTTATAGAGACCATCAAATAAATTATCTGTTGCTAATTGAGATTGACCTAAATGCGTCAGTTTTATTATTTCAGTTAAGAGTTCACGACATGCAGCAGGTGAGTGATGACTTGATTGTATTTTATCATGTTCTGCATTCTGAGTGGGGTTATTATTTACATCCATACAATGACTACATGCAGTTGAATGACAATGTTCATATGGTGCAGATGCAATGTTGCTAGGCAACAATATCACACTGGCAGGAGTATTTTTTAAATTTTTTAGTTCAGCTGATTCTTGAACATGATATGAAATTGAATAATTATTTTCATCCAACAATGGATCTAATATGAAATATGGAGAATTGTCATAAGAGGGATCAAAGTCAGACCACGAGAGATTTTCATTACAGAAAACTGCAAAAAAATGTTTGCATGAATATATACTATCAAACCAAGAGGGACATGAACAGGTAGGCAAGTGCTTGGCATCACCAAGATAACATTGGTAAACCGCTCTACTTGTTGACTGAAATGATGCAACATTGTATAACCTGTTGGTGACAGCATTTATTCCATCCAATGATATACCTTGCAGTTTATCAATCATTTTCATGCAGTGTTTTACTAAAGGCCGTGGGCGATTTACTAAATACACAGGAATGTTATTACTATATTTTCTATAAGATGAGTGTGCTCTTCTATTTTCATCCACATAGCTAAAAATAAAAATAATTAAAACTATGCAACAATAATATTACTAAAGAATAGTAATAGCAACTAGAAATATTTTTGACTGAATATGATGTAAGTAACAGGATAACTTATGCTTTCGGTTTCTGGGATTTGAAAGCTACTAATTTTTTATTAACCCTAACCCTGACAAAAAACAAAGCCCTATTTTTGGCCAAAAAGGAAAAGAAGATACTGTTTTCAAGCATAAAAAATAAAGTTAAACTTGTTTTTAATGACATGATTATTATTATTTGTCTTACTATCCTTACTATAATATCATAATTAAGTATTAAATAGTAATGGTGTAAGTAGATTAACTAACTTGTCATAATTGTGAGGTAGGAATTCATCAATGCAAATACTTAACATAGCTGTGAGAGATGAGCTTTTTCTTCTTTCCAAGAAACTATATTTAAATGATTGATTTTGCCTTTCAGTGCCATTGTTTGTGTTGACATTTTGCAAATGGCGATGTTGCCGGAATGCAGACACCCATCTCTGAAAAAGATATAAATGAAATGCTACTTATATCCCAGAATATTTAAATTGCAGGACTTTTCCAGAACTTTGACTACAAAAACGCAGTAAAGCAATTTCTTAGACAAAAAAAGTGTTACATTCACTAGACTTATTTGGCATTTTAATTGTAATAAAAAATCAATAAAAGATTAAAATACCCAAACTAAATTTTTTTTTTAAAGATTAAAAAGAATTAGAGTACAAAGGCTCAATAGAATAATTTTTTAAATTACATTTTAATATCATTTAAACTAACCTTTTGGTTGCATAACCAAGTATTATTTAAATATTCTCTTAGTTTTGGGTGATTTTTCCACTCTTCTGTCTCTTTGAAAGCATTCACAGCATCTTTGCAAATCTCTTCTATTTTTGCATTGGCAATTTGGCGAAGTTGTAACTTAACTGCATCTTTCACAGTGCAACAGCCATTATTGGTTTTAGAAAGCCATCTTTCCCAAGCTTGCTCTCGATGAAAATCACAAATTAGGACACTACATCCTAATAAGATGAACTTATACATGAAATTATGCTGCTTAAAATTTTAGAAAATCTTGAAATACCTATTCTACAGTCTTACCTGAAAACACATATTCTATTGAGTTTATTTCTTCGTTTGAATAATCAGTTAAAACAAATTTAGGCTGAAATGAAGAATTCCACTGTTTAACGCACGTCAATGCCTCAGTGATAGTTTCAGTTGTTTCGTTTTCACACACAAAAATTGCCACAACTTGGTAATCCGTGTTTGTTTTAACAACTAGAAAAAATAGAGGAAGAGCATACCTAGTCGTGCGATATGTTGCATCAAGAAAAAGTAACTCAGTTCCATATCGCAAAAGCAGTCTCTTTTGCCACTTATCTTGGTATACAAATAACAATGAATTCTTAAGCTGTGGATCATTGTCTTCAAGAAGGCTGACACCTTTTGGTCGAAACTTTATCATAGGTTCTTGGCCAATGATTCTCCATTCATTAACTTTATCAAGCAAACATTCTTGATCTATTAAAGAGCTACGAAGTTTTCTCCTTGCATTCATCATATGATTCCGAATTGTTTTATCCCGTGGAAAGTAACGCTTGTTTTCTTTATGAGGAATGTTACTTAAACCAAATTCAGCTTCAACAAAATAATCAAGATGTCTTCTCATTTCTGGAACAGTGTTGACACCCTTTTTTACTAACTCTCCAATTTTAATAATGAGAGTATCAGAAAAGAGTTGACTAAGACCCGCTGTCTAAAAATATTGCAAATATATTTTGCAGTTATAAACAAATTGAAAAGAAAATTAACAACATAATTCATTTAATCTATTATAAATTGAATATTAAATGAAATAAAAATGAATGAAAAAACAAAAAATAAATTACAAAAACCTGTAATGTTACCTACCTCTCCTATCACAAAGTTTTCATGAGCAGAAACACATGGCATTACTAAAATGTACTTTCTACACATAATTAAATTTCCTTGGGTAGAAATAGCTATTCGAGCTTTTTTGACATTTCATTTCTTGACCATGTTGTATCTCTAGTGAGCTATGAGAATAAAAAAAAAATATTGAAAAATACATTTATAGAAAATTTATTAAGTATTTTTTACAAAAGTATTTTTACAAAATTATTATTTTGGTATTTTTATTAATAACTAAATCATTTAAAAATTTGTATATAAATAGTTGCTCAGTTGTTGTTCCATATAAGTACATGTTCACATACATGTACATGTTACATTCTATACATATACATGTTCAACATTAAATGTGGTTAATGTTTTTAAACAAAATGTTTTTTAAATTTAGTGAAAACATGGATCAGATAAAGCATTAAGATACCTTAAACTCTGGAAATTCAACTATTTCTTTTATATGAATCACAGCTGGACAATCAAATTTTTTGGTATCCTGGAGAATAACTTTGTTATTTTGGTAATAATGATCTTTAGCTTATACATTATAAACAAAGATATTACTATAAACATAATATTTTTAAATTTAAAAAATACGTTAAGATTTTTTATCGTTACAAATCAAGGTAATTTAAAAAAAAAAATACTAGTACTAAAAAAAGCGCATGAGAAAAAACCTAATTAAGCAAAGTAGAACGCTAAAATAATACCAATGATGATAATTTAAAAAAGGAAACTAATGTGTGACTGTCTAATAGTATTATTAAAAAAAACAACTAAATAAAACACTCTCACAATTATACAAAAAAATTGTTTATAAACATAGCACCATATAAATTATCAACATACTGCTGCATCGTTTTTCTTTTTTCTGTACTTTTCTTTCGCTTTAATATTCCTGTCCATTCCTTGTTGACAGTCAAGACAGGTATGCGCTGAAAAAATGAATGGAACTCCAGAGTAGGGGAAATCATTGTCCTCAAAAAACACTCTGTGATTTTTCTTCAAGAGTTCTATATTAAATAATTTGAACTACATACAAGATTACTGTTAAACAGAACAAATTAAAAATACACTAAAATTAAAAGCGGTTAAAATATTTACAATAATTGTAGATTATATAAAATTATTGATCTATTGTGAAAAAAGTAATTTTTTAAATAACTGTGTATGCCAACCTTCAAAGTTTTGTTCCATGTTTCCAGTGCGAGATACAACATAATGCACTGTGTCCAACAACTCATGCTCTTTAATTTTAGCACAAACATCTGAATACGTTAGTAAAATGTGTTTTTCAACAGCTACAGTCAAATTGGCTGTCCCTGCAAATAGTGTAATAAAATATTTTGTTAAAAAGTTATAAAGAAAAATTAAGTAACATTATTGATAAAATCGAAACTCGAACAATAAAAACAAAATTATTTAAGTCAGGATCTACGCAACTGCAACAACTTTATGTTTTTTTAAAAATTTGATTCCAAAGAAAAAAATATATATTTTTAACTCTTTTCAACTCATTGCAAAAGTAACTCTATGAAACGAAATTAGCTATCAACTATTTGTCCAAAATAAATGCGACATAAGTAAGAAACATTTTTTTTTATTATGAGTTTTTATTATGAAATATAATGTTTTATCAGTAATATATATTAAAAATACAAAATATCATGTCTAATTTTCATTTTAGTACTTTGTTGCACCACCTTTTGCTTTCACGACTGCTTCTAAACGTCTTGGCATGCTTTTTACAAGCTTTGACGTGACGTCAGTACCATTTGAATTCCAAGTTTCACTAAGAACCTCAAAAAATTCTTTTTTATTTGTTCGTTCGTATTTTAGGTATTTTAGATTTTAAAATTGCCCATAAATTTTCAATAGGGTTAAGGTCCGGGCTTTGTGGTGGCCATTTAAGGATGTTATCTTTACTTTTTTTGAGGAAATGTTGTGCCACTTTGCTGGTGTGTTTGGGGTCATTGTCTTGTTGAAAAAAGAACTTGCAATCTAAATTCAATTTTTTAGCGGATTGACATAAATGTTTAGAAAGCAAATCAACATACAATTGTCCTGTCATTATAACTTCAACATTTACCAGTCTTCCCACACCATTTAAAGCAAAGCATCCCCAAACCATAATTGAGCCACCTCCATGCTTGACATTTTTTCTAAGATTTCTATCTAAGAGTGCTTTATCTAAGAGTTTTTCTAAGATTTCTATCTAAGGTCTGCGCCAAACTCTTTGTCGTTTTTTAAAGCCAAATATTTGAAATTTACTCTCATCAGACCATAACACTGAGTTCCAAAATGCCTCATTCTTGTTAATATGCAGTTTTGCAAATGCTAAGCGTTTTTTTTTTGTTTATACCACTAATGAGGGGTTTACTTTTTTGAAGACGGTTTTAAACCACTTGAATTAAGTCTTCTCTGTACAGTTCGACTGGAAACATTTAATTTAAGATTTTCAACAATCTGTCTTGAGGTTATTGTTAAATTTTGTTTTGCTATTCGCGCAATTAGCATATCAGTTCTTGTTGAAGTCTTAGGGGGGCGACCAAATCTTTTATGATTTTCAACAGAACCAGTTGTTTCAAATTTTATACACATCTTTCTTATCGATAAGATAACACCCCTTATCGATAAGAAAGATGTGTAGATAACACCCCTTATCGATATTTGATATTTTTCTGCACATTGCTTGTAGGTTAGGCCCTTTTTTCGATCACAAATGACCCGAGATCGGATGTCCAATGAATAATTTTGATGATAAACCATTATTATTGTTAGTTTTACTTTTTCTAAAAATAAATTCCGAAAAAATAAAGTTTAAAATGCTTATTTTTAATAAATTTAACAAAATCTCTTTAATAATAATCATTTTTAATAAATAGCTATTGACAAAACATTATATTTCATAATAAAAACTCAAATGTTTCTTACTTTTGTCACATTTATTTTTGAAAAAAAATTTGTGAGATAGCTAATTTTGTTTAATAGATTAACTTTTGCAAGGAATTATAAAATGTTATAAATGAATTTATTTTTCTTAGGAATCAAATTTAAAAAAAAACTTTTTTTTTTTAAATTTGATTTCTAAGAAATGCAATAATTTTAAATTTGATTCCTAAGAAACTATTTTTCTTAGGAATCAAATTTAAAATTATTGCAGTTATGTAGATCTTGACGTAAATAATTTTGTTTGTATTGTTAGAGTATCAATTTTATCAACAATGTTACTTAATTTTGTCCGTGACTGTATATATATATATATATATATATATATATATATATATATATATATATATATATATATCTATATATATATATATATATATATATATATATATATATATATATATATATATATATATATATATATATATATATATATATATATATAATATATATATATATATATATATATATATATATATATATATATATATATATATATATATATATCATCACAATATCATCAAAAAGTGAGGAAGGTTATTACACATCCATGTATCAAGCAGAACAAAATCTCATAAAATTGGAAGGTTCGAAGATTTTCCGGAGAGTTGCATGTTCAGTATTAAAGAAATTGGCTTCAAAAGAGAAAAGCAAAACACTAAATCTTGCAACAAGTATGTTTCATTTGAATGAAACTTACTTGTTGCAAGATTTTTACTTCTAACTCTTGTAATATTGTAGTTGCATTTTAAAGCATTTTTTTCTTTTAAATTAAAATGCCTGACTACTCATAATGTTAGCGGAAGACATAAACAACAATTTATTTACCTGAAGGGTGACAAAAGAAAGGCTTTTTTATTTCTATAATCTAAGTTCTCTTCAGTGATATTTTCTCGCTGTTTTTTTCTTGTGTTTCATTCGTAATGCTACATCAACTGAATATGAAACATTGAAGCCGTTCTATTTAAGAAATTGGGATTTACATCTACAAGCTAGTTTTTTTCCATATAGCAATGTAGCCAATTATAGTGCATGTAGCCAATTTAATAGAGAAAGGCAGAAGTCATTATTTGTATGTGGTTTAAAACCATATAACGAAACAGTTAGTGCCACTAGCTGTTTTGTGATATAGTTTTAATCTATATAACGAAAGTTTGCTAGTCTCAATATTTGAAGTAGTCCTTCTTCTTCAAATATTGGGAGGAAATCAACAATAAAATAGTTGACATGTATTTTTGTACAGTTACTAAACTGGCATTAAGTTGCTAAATAAAGGTCATTACTTATTCTAAAAAATAGTGACGTAGTTTTACATTACTTATTTTAAAAAATAGGTGTTGAAAAAAAGGAAATAAATCATACCCGATAAGTGTTCTAAATCATGGGAACAATTGCCATCATCCATTTTACAATTAAGGATAATTAGATAAGTTTATAGCTTTTAGTACACCGCACAAACGTTAATTAATAATGACATTTCAAATAGATAAACGATATTTAATACCATCCAAAATTAGGCGATAAAAACGCATGCGCTAATTTTTTTTTGGTCTGGATTTTTATGAAAATCGGCAACCTTATTTTGAATGTCATTAAAAATCCTTAACCGTTTTGTACTACCCCAGAAGAATTTAGTTACATAAATTTCAATTTCCAAATGTGAACATTTATTAGATTTCATCTTATTAAGTGGGCTGTTACAAGACGTTCCTTATAGTATTTTTAAAATAAAGTATGATATTGAAACTGTAGCTATTGCCATTTTAACAGCTAAAAACAGTCACAAAATGAAATTGCAACATATTCAGCTCGATTTGCTCTTTCAGATCCTGAAAACATTAAAAAAAAGTCTACAAGCATTTTAAATAATTCTGAATGATTTTGGTTGATTTCATTTAAAACTTCAAACAGCTCATTGCTATGAATGCAATGAGCTGTTTGAAGTTTTAGATGAAATCAACCAAATAGGAAATGAAAATGATATTGGTGACGATGCATTATATGACATTAAGATATCAATAGGCAGCATCACAGAGTTTATTAAATACCTCTTAAGAGATCAAAAGGGAAAAAGGCAAAGAATGATGCGTATAACCAACTAGATGATAAAACAGCATTTCTGTTAAAAGATTGTTAACAAAAGATATTACCCGTAAAGTTTAGAGAGGATCAAAAAGATTACTTTAGGAAAAAAAGCATAAGTATGCTTAAAGTTGTTTTTTTTAACCAAAAAAACATTGACATTCTCAAAAAGCGTGTTTACCTAACAACTTTATATCGCTGCAATCAAAGTGTTTCCTCCGTAATCTCTATTGCTGAATCAGTTCTAAATCAGTTTGGTCAAAATGAGCCAGAAATAGTAATTAATTTTACAAAATCAGATAATGCTAACTGTTCTCATGCTAATTATTCCATTGAATCAATATGCATACTCTGCAAAAACAAGAACTTTAAACTTCTAAGGTACGACTTTAATGAGCCTTGCTGGCAATAACATAGTAACAGTAGATGTCACAAAAGCAGTGAAATATGGTAATGGTATCAAAAACGGAATGGTAAATTCTGCGCATAATTAAAGAAAAGCATAATGCCTGCATCCTGCGTGCAAAATTGAGGCACACTTTATAAAAACTAGTGTTACTTAAAAGTTTAGTACCTGAGACCCTGTACATGATTCCATAGCGTAAAGTTAGGTCCCGTAAAATGTTCCGCAATTGTCCCGCTTCACGTCCAGGACAGAGTTAACATAATTAATTTTTGCATTTATAATTTAATTTATGAAATAATTAATATTCTTTGAATGTGAAGCACGTTTTCACCTGGTTATCGTCGAAGATTAAATTTAAATTGGTAAAAAAGTTATTATTAGAGATAATAATAATTTAAATTTATTAGAAAAAACAACATTGAGTAATAGTAATTTAAGACATTTTAACTTTTTTAGACAAAATATTTTAAATTTTGAATATAAAAAGCTTATGTTGATGTTTGTTTTACAACTCGTTTAAAAACATTTCTCAGGAATGACATTCCTGCGGAATTTAAAAATTTAAAAACATTCCGAATGTTTTTAAACGAGTAATATAATATAAGCTTTTTATATTCATAATTTAAAATATTTTGTCTAAAAAGGAATTTCCTCTACAAGCACGTTTTAAATGAAGTATCAATTTCCACGTTTGTATGTTTGTTACTGTTTAAATTTTTTTAGTTGTTATATCTCAAGAAGAAGTTGGGTTACTGTAGAAACATACGTTGAAGTACTTTTTTTGATAGATAGCTACGAAACAGAGACTGTATCAAAGTTTTCATGCTATAGTGATGCTAAAAACTATGGAAATATGGGTATGACAATTTTAATTGAGTGTTTTCAAAATGCAATTGCTAAATTTTTATTTTTTCTTTTATATTTGTATAGCTGTTATTAAAATTTTTTGTTGTTGTTATCTATAAAGATTCTTCTGCAAAACACATCAAAATAAGATGATTCAATATCATTTAATGGGACTCCGTTTATGGTTTTAGGATGTAAATTGCTTGATTGTATGCACGGGAATGATAGAAAAGCCTTTTATAAAGAAGTTTATAAAATTCATTTATTATTATAATATGTTTTTCTTTATCAATTTGTTTCTAAAATAGCTCCTGTCTTTAATGATTGTATGTCTAAACCTTTTATTTTTGTTCTTTTGTCTAATTTTCTTAATAGGTATCAGATCACAGTTTTTCAAAAAGCTATTTGCCATATTTAAATTTCTTGGTCACCAAGAAATTTAACTGTAGTTTTCAAATAAAAATTTAGAAATTTTAAAATTTCCCAGGTTTTAAAATTTTATTTCTTTGTTTGTTTAATTTATACTATTTACATGAGGTTTAAGTCAGTCCTATATTAACTATTCAAGACATGCATGCATCAACTTAAAATATAACCAATTAATTTATGCTATTTCTTTTTAAAATAAACTTTGTTTTAGATTGCTGAGGATACTAGATTTAGAAGAGTGCAATTCTCAAACCATATTAAAGATGCTTTGTCAAGAGATAAAGTAGAAAGGGAAAGAGTGTTTCCAGTTTGCTTTCCTTTAACAAGTTCTCATACTAGTCATTTTACTAGAGATGTAAGATTTCTTTTTTCTTTTTTGTGTAGATAAAGATAAACAATAGATTTTAAAAGAAAAAAAAACATTAAAGAGTTATCCAAATTAATTTTCATTTCTTGTTTACCTGTTTTAAACATCTTGAAGTTAGTTTATTATTTCAAACATGTTATTTAACTTGTTTTGTCATATAACATTTATTAAATTTTAACACTTATATTAATATGTTTCCATTTACTTAAACCAACAACAATAAGGTTGTAGTAAATTTTAATTGCTATTTTTAATGCTGTTGTTTAGGAACTTTAGATTTAATATTGTTTAAAATATGTATAACCTTTTTTGTGTTCAGTATATTTAGTATATCATATTTAGTATCTTGATCCAGATAACTTAAGGCCTTAAATTTAAATGCCTGCTCCTACTGATGGTTTTGCTATATACTCGGTATGTTCTTGTACTATTCCTAATATATGTAATATTGTTCATACAAACTTCAATATTTTCACCAGGGGTGGGTTTTGTCACTCACTAAGGAGGTGGCTAAAACGGTTTTTAAAAAAGGTCTGCATTTTTTCACTTCAAAGTGACTTTCTTTTTTAAAACTTTTTGTACTTTAGTGTAATAATCAAGTTCATATATGTATAATAACCTATAATAGTCAATTACCTATAATAGTCAATCCCAATGGGGGAGGTGGGGGGGGGAAGCAACTACCCCATGCCCCCCCCCCTAAAACTTGCCACTGATTTTCACAGTCTGCTGAAGCTATTAAGTGTATCAATGAAGAGAACTGATCTATCAATCATTTTTACAAGCAGTCAATAAAATATCTTATTGGAAGTAGGAAGAAGGAAGCTTGTACTATTGTAAAAAAAAAAGATATCTGTTTCTGTAGTTTTATATATATTAAAGTGTACTTTATTAAAGATCGAATTGCATGATTTCACATTTATCCTTATTAAAACTGATTAGCCTTTTTTTTTCCAGTTAAATAAGATGTCAAGATCAAACTGTGTAGAGTGATTTATTTATTTTTTTTTCTAATTGAGTTATTTTCTAAATTTTCAAAATATTTTCAAAAATTTCAAATACTTCTTGGAATATGCATCTTAAATATAGAATTCATATTTTAATAAAGATATAAACTTTATCGAAAAAGTCTAACAAAAAGCCGCAAAAATTGGCTACAAAAGAAAGGGAACAAGTTACGAGCAAAGATTAAAAGAAATGGGCTTACAAATTCTATCAAATAGAAGAGAAAACAGCGATCTCATTAAAATGTTTGAACTTATAAACAACCATGATATTATCAATTAGAATTGCGTTCCACAAGTATTGGGTAGGCTTACAGAGGCCATAATCAAAGGTCGAGAAGACATTTTGTTAAAAACTTTTTGTTGAGACCAATTTTTTTACAACCCATATACAGTGGGTTGCCAAATTATTTGGGACACTTCACTTTTTAAGTAATTTCAAAGTTTAAATGATTTTTGCAAGCAAATAAATTTTTTTAAATAAAAAATTTTGAGTGTATTTTAGTCACTAATATAACTATAGTTGTTTTTAAACTGTGGCAATTTGTGATAACCAGATCTGTCAAAAAGTTAGGTTATTACTCAATTAGCTGTCAATTTTTGAAAAGTGTGGTTGAAAGTCAAAAATTCAAAATTGATTTCAGTTATTTGCTTTTGAAACAATTTTTTGCAAGTTTTTTGAGTTTAAAACTATTGAAACCTAAATATTCGTTAATAGTTCAATTAGTTTAGTTATTAATTTAGTATTTTTGCTACTTTTAATGCATAAATCCTGACATACAACTATTCTTACCTCGTTAATTTTTTTAGTCTCCAGACTTTACCCCCAAAAAAAAAAGCAGAAAAGTAAAAACCTTACTTCTTCATTCTACACATTCTCAGAGAGAGGTTGCAAGCGTTTCAAAGTCAGTAGTGAGTCGAATTTAAAAAAAAAATGATACAAATGTGACTCTAGAACCAGACCATGTCAGCAAAAGTGGCAGAAAAGGATCACTTCTCCATGTTATGACCGTAAATTTAAAGACATCTGTCTTGAAAACAGAAAAAAAAGTGTGACTCAACTAGCTGTAATTATAAACAATGAAGGAATTAACGTCTCTAAAAGGACAGTTCAGGAACGGTTGGTTGAGGAGAATTTAGTGTGTTATCATCCAACCAAAAAAAAGAATGTTTAACTGAAGCCATGGAAAAAAAGCGACTGGAATGGGCTAGAAAACACCAGAATATAACTATTGAAGACTGGAGTAGAGTAAATATAATTTATAATATTATAAGAAACCAGAAAAATTTAAGGATAAATATTTATTTTTGAAATATCTTTAAAATATTTTGCA